TACTTTTGTATTTCTCAATCAATCGTCAATATCAATATTAAATATTCAAGAATATGGTAAGTTTATTTCAGATATGACTATCAGGTTTTCATTTAGCAATACGACAAAAATGTCGTAGCTCCTTATAGACTAAAATTCCAATAATTTGAATGAATTTGATATTTATGCTTTTTTAATTCTAAAAAATTTGCTGATATGAATGATATTTTCCACTGATTGTAATTTGAGGGGTTCGCTAATCATTAGTATCTGTTGTCAGAATGAGGTCATCCACAAAAAATGAACTAGATTAGTAGATCGAGAAGTACTAGACTCTTCTCAAAGCCTTATTCAATGTTCTTGCCTCATTTTAACTTCATTTTTCAAAACAGAACCATGTACGTCATCATCAACACCAACAATAATATCGTCAACCTCAGCATCATCAACTTCAACAACAACATCAACAACAACGTCATCAACATCAGTAACTTCGACAACAACTTCATCGTCATCAACATCAAAAACAACTTCAACTTCAACTTCAACAACAACCTCAACAACAACATCAACAACAACAAGTGGTGGGTGTGGGAATGAATACTTAATGCTTACACCAGATGTTAAAAAAAGAAATAGTTTCACGAGATTTAAAAATATAGTGGTTAGTACTTCGAATCATCTCAAACCCGAATAAATAAGACGAGGTTGTTGAAGAAGAAACTTCTTAAGATGAAAAAATCATAGCTTGATTTAATCAATGGAAGATATTTTAACTGTTCCATATCGAAAAAAATTGCGATCAAATCACTGTTGGTAGGCATTGGAAACTGTAATGAATTTGACGAAGGATAATTTTCTTTCGTTTTGATATTAGATTAAGTTCAGGACGGAATTCAATTAAATTTCTGAGAAAAACCATTACGAAGAGTGTCACCACATTCGGCAAAGAATGTAAAATAAAACAAACAGAATTTCAATTCTATATAACCATTTTTTTATGTCGATTAGGAGATTCTGTGAAACAGCGCACAGAATGAACCAAAAGATTATTTTACTTAGAGTTGAGAATATTAAAAGCCATTCAGAAAAAGAGTACGCGATTCTGTCCATCGCCTCAGTGCTAACTAAAGCAACGTTATGCAAATCCTAACGAATTCGAAGATCACTTTCTGTTTCTAAATGATGTAAAATACTAAAAATAATTTTTTTTTCATAGCCTGCAATTTGTTTTTTAATCAAACTACTTACTCAGCTGTCGCACAGCCATGGTCAGTAGCAGTCATCGACGTGAATAACGATAATAAATCTGATATTATTGTTGCTAACTATAATTCGAACAATGTCGGTGTTCTTCTCAACACAGGCAATGGCACATTTAGTGCTCAAACTACTTACCCAGTTGGCACTAACCCAGCATCAGTAGCAGTCGTTGACGTCAATAGCGACAGTAAACCTGATATTATTGTTGCAAACTCTGGTTCGAACAACGTTGGTGTTCTTCTCAACATAGGCAATGGCACCTTTCATGCTCAAACTACTTACTCAGCTGGTGGACAGCCATGGTCAGTAGCAGTCGTCGATGTCAATAGCGACAATAAACCCGATATTATTGTTGCTAACTATCATTCGAACAACGTCAGTGTCCTTTTCAACGCAGGCAATGGTATTTTTAATGCTCAAACTACTTACCCAGTTGGTACAGGTCCATGGTCAGTAGCAGTCGTTGACGTGAATACTGACAATAAACCCGATATTATTGTTGCAAACTATGTTTCGAATACCGTCAGTGTTCTTCTCAACACAGGCAATGGCATCTTTAATGCTCAAACTCTTTACTCGGTTACCTCTGGTCCAATATCAGTAGCAGTCGTTGATGTGAATAATGACAATAAATCTGATATTATTGTTGCAAACTTTGATTCGGCCAACATCGGCGTTCTTCTCAACGGAGCCAATGGTACCTTTAATGCTCAAACTACTTACCCAGTTGGTACTAACCCAGTATCTGTAGCAGTCGTCGACGTCAATAGCGACAATAAACCTGATATTATTGTTGCAAACTTTGGTTCGAACAATATCGGTGTTCTTCTCAACGCAGGCAATGGCACCTTTAATGCTCAAACAACTTACTCAGTTGGCTTTAACCCAATATCAGTAGCCGTCGTCGATATGAATAGCGATAATAAACTTGATATTACTTATGCAAACTCTGGTTCGAACAACGTCGGTATCCTCTTGAATTCTTAACGTTTATTGATGGTTAACCTTTATTTACTTGTTAACACTTTACTACTCTACTAAAAACATTACGCTTATAAAACATTGTACAATGCGAATAGAGGCTTGCAAGGCAAGATATTTTGGCAACCTGTACCCTGCCCTGTAAATTAATAAAAAAGTTTTTTTCTATTTTGATTAAGATTTTCCTTTTTTTTCACTATATTATAATTATATAAGGTGTATTATATTAACCTTACTCGAACACCCACACCCATCTTAAAAATAATTTGTTTTAATAACCATATCGGTTATTTTAGACGTCTAAAGATCGGAGAGATATGTTTCATATTAATTTTATCGGCATTTTTTCGTCTTGAATATTCAAAATAGAGCAAACATATGATTAAAGTTAACTAACGATAGAACAATTATTTATGAATCTAAATTACACAATGTAAATAGAAGCAATCATTTAGATAATGATAGTCGTAAAAGTCTTGTCTTCTTTAAATACAGCTCATAATAACTTAAGTATACTATAGTCAATATTATACTGGCGAATATGAGAATTAAATCTTGATATAATCGTGATAATTATTCGAACTACTTTGAACAATGATCAGGTTCATTGGCGACATCAATATCAGTTTTTTTTCTTTTTGCTTAGTGTCATGTTTTAATAAATCTTCAAGCATTCACAAAACATTGAATTTTATCTTGATCATATTATTCTCTCTTTTTGTTTTAATTGAAAAAGAAAAATGTCATTGAGCGAACAATTACAGATATTAATCGATTAGTATTAAGATGCGTTCATTGAATGAATCAGTAGTCTGTTGATAAAGTACCCGCACCCATACCAAAACCTACACCTTTTGGACCGAATAAACGTTGATAACAATCTTAAATAATACAGAGAAAAATAAGTATATTCTAGAAAATATCAATTATTCAAAATCTAACTATTATCATAAAGATTGCCATCATGTTCCGAAAAATTAGCACCATTAATACTTTTTTTACAATTAGCACATCTGTAACATAATTTGTGAAATGACTAAATAAACAATTAATAAATTACAATGTATAGAAGACAGTATTGATTTTACCTGTCCAATTGCTTTAACTTCTTCAGCAAAGTAAACAGGTTTTGAACATCGTGGACAAATATTACCTTTTGGTTTTTGACTTGTTGAACTAGCTGATGAAGTTTGACTTGTTGATGATGATTGATTTGTTGATTGCACTATTGATGCACCGTGACCTACAATGCCTTGTGCCAATGTTTTTTCGTCATTCTATTGATAAAAAAGAGTTAGAAATATGAAACAATCATCAAATCATGCTCTAGAAAAAAACGCGTCAAGTACACTATCATTAAATCAATAGATGCAATTCGTTCTATTGATACTAACAAATGAATCGACAGAATTTTTATTATTTGTTGATTGTTCGACGAGTGGAGTCTAAAATATAAAAAAGTTTAAGATAAGATGAACATATATTTATTTTCTTCTTACTTGACCGGCAAGTTTACCCAATACGTGAGAAGGAAACGACGACATGAATACAATACTAAACAAAATCAAAATATTCTTTTTTACTACAACACAATTTTTATTTTATTAAAATACAGACAAACAAACTAAATAATATGAGTGACAATAGTCGAGAGTGTAATCTTTCAACGAGAAGGTGAAAAATAAACGAAGATAAAAATCAGAAGAGACAAAGAATTGTATTTGTTTATGATAGATAAGACTACTTGTATTCAACATATGTTACCATATACGAATGCAACTATACACAACCGAAAAAATAGATATGGGTATAGAATGAATGTACAATCAAAATTTTACTAAAGCCAAAATAATTCTATTAACTTAAAGATTTTAATAAATGATATAACATCAAAGTGAAATTATTTTAGATAATGGTTACTTTGAAAATTAGGATAAAAAATTTTAATTATTATTATTTAGTATAAATCCGATTATTACTATATATACAGTGGGTCGAAAAATTATTCGTCTACGAGATTATCTATCGGATGTATTTAGCATCAGAATTTTACATATGATAATTGATAAAAAGCGTCGTTGGATCAGTTTTCATAAGTAGTGAGGCAAGAACAGTAATTACATACTTGTTTTTTGAATGAATCATTTATATAAGCAATTGTTTTATCTTTTCATTTATTTCATAGTATTACTTTAAGTAGATTATAAAGATTAAATTTACTTTTCGAATGTTCTTTTAAAAATGACAATTTAAAATTTTACTTTCAAATAAAAACAGCAGTTTTTTTTCAATCTATTAAGTAAATATTTAATTTAAACGGCTATAACATACTTATTGTATGAAAACATTGGCAAATAAAAAGAATTGACAACGTCAGTCTTTCAATATAAATATATACTCAACAAAAACTAAGAAGTAAGATACTTTATTCAAATATCTAAGTACAAATTTATTGCTAATCATAGTTATTATCAATAAAAATTATGCCTCCATATCGACGTTTTCGACTTAATCTTCATCGTCACACACAAACTATGCTTAAAAATAAATCTAATCAAAAATTTACAAAATCATGGTTAATATGGGTTAAACTTAGTTTATCTGCTTCTGTTCCGTTGATGATTGCAATATTTACTATTGTTTCTTATGTTCAACAAATGCAAATTGATGAACATAATCGTCAACAAGATGAAGAATTAGCGATTGCTACACGTGAAAAAGATATATCAATAGCGAATTTAACACGTATACAAGATCATATGATTGCAAATATAACACGTTATCATGATCTTGAAATTGCTAATTTAACACAAATTAAAGATTGGGAAATAGCAATGGCTAATTTAAATATTGCTAATGAAACTAAAATGCAAGATCGTCAAATTGCAGAAGATAATCGAAAAGAAGATCGTATACAACAGCAGGATTTACATTATGAAACACTCTATTCTAAATATATTGATGATATTTCTACAATTCTTTATAAAGAACCACATAATCAAACAACATTTACTAATGAAGAAAAAAAAATGCTTTATATACGTCGAAAGACTCTTATAACTCTAAGAACAATTGATAGTGAACGACGAAGTCAATTATTTGTATTTCTTTATGAAAATAATTTATTACCTGATCAATCATCTCCATTAACAACAATATCATTAATGGGAGCTGATTTAAGAAATATAACAATTAAAAGTCCATTAACTGGTTCATATGAATTTAATTCCTTAACTTTACAATCTCTTAATTTAATGAATGCCGTATTTAGTGATTGTAGATTTCGTGGTGGAACAAATTTCAGTGGTTCAATTCTTACCAATGTACAATTTATTGGTGCAGTTTTCGAAGATAATTTAGATGCATATAAAGTTAAACTTATAAATGCATCGTTTACAGATTGTATTTTTAAAAAGAAGATTATTATTGAAGATTCAGATTTAAGATATGCAAAATTTATTCGATCAAATTTTGAACAATTATCATTTGTATCGATTAATTTTACTAATGGATCATTTATCAATTGTAAATTCTCTGGCGAAACAAATTTTAAAAAATCATTTATGAATGGAGTTACGTTTACAAATTCTGAATTTGAAACTAATAAACAACATGAATTTGATCATGTATCGTTAGATTATTCATATTTTAATAATATGTCATTAGCAAATACTACGTTTCAATATTCAAATCTATCATATACAGATTTAAGTAATACACATTTAGGTAATGTACAATTTACTTCAAAAATTTTACTTATTAATTCAATTTTTTACAATACAAATTTTACTGAAGTAAATTTTACTCATGTAAATCTTTCCGGGGCAAGAATTAATATGAGTTATTTTCAAGATTCACAACTTTATAATGTTATTCTACCCAATGGTACTTGGTTGATTAATCATGATAATCTATTGAAAAATGGAAATGCCGAAAAATATGTAAGTATAATACATCATTTTATCGAGATTTTCAAATTTCGCCAATTGACGAAAGCTCAGTGCACTTACGCCAACATACTTATAGGGAATTCGCCAGTGTTATTATGTGATCGCATATGTATAAAAATAGCTCCTGGTAACTAGCGGCGGCGCCAGGATTCTTGACTAGGGTGGGCTCAGGCCTAATAAATTTCAAACAGGGTGGGCTCGGATAGAATATCATTGATTTTTTAAGGTCTGAAAAACATTTTAGGGTAGGCTGAGCCCACCCTTGGCGCCGTCACTACTAGTAACTAAATTGAGGCATTTAGACTATGATATTAGGTTAATTTATCGCATGTATTTTACACTAATCTTGTATTATCACAGTTGGCGAAGGGACTGTAAACCATTTTTTTATCTTGTAGTGTTGGTGGCCTTTTAAGGAAAACATTCTAACGCAATGGAAAGAAGAAATTGATGCACCAATTTTATATCATCATAATATAACTCAATTAGATTCGACAAATTCATCTATAGGGAATTGTTCATTTGCATGTACGGATAGACATTTATGTTCAATGAGACAATTAATAGAACTTAAACAATTTATATTATTTATTGATAGTAATGAATTGGAATATACTGTATCGGCATATTTTGGAAGCAATAATGAATGTGAACAAGGTCTAATTAGTATATGGATTGTATCATATGAAGGAAGATTTAAGAGACAATTAAGAAATCCTTGTAAGTTAGTTTATTTATGTGATCTAAAAATAAATCTCTATTATTTTTGTTATGTGTCTTGCAGATATTAAATCATCGACTAATTTTATAAAATGGCAACAAAAAACTGACACATATAAATTATCAAAAATGAATGGAGATCTTTATTACATACGTATAACATTTAATAAATATTCAACTTCATGTTATGTTGATAATATTGAATTTCATCTGCGAAAGAGTTCAATATACAATCTTAATTAGATAAATAAATTAGTAAATATGCATCTGTATATTTTTTTTCTAATAAATGTATATCCCGATGACTAGTTAACATTGTAATTGAATTGACTTTCATTCAAATCCATCTAATCAGATAATATCGTTCACGAAGACTAGAATAATCGAACGCCTACATTCATATCCCTACAATCAAGATTAGTTTTAGTAAGTGATTTTTATATACCGATTGCTAAGATAAGATCTGATATTGACCTACTTGATATGAAATCGATTTATAGTACATTATATCAATATATTTTTTCGAATTTCTCTTTGTAAAAGTTAAAAAACAAAAACACCCTATTTATGAATTATTATATTATATACTAGATAAAATACTATAATCATCAGTCAAGTTAATAAATTCTTTTTTTTTCAATATAACATAAAGTACTTCTTTTGACAAAATCGATTGAAATTATTATCAAAAGAAACAAAATTCCGAATAAAAAATAATAATCATTATAGCATGTATCGATAATAAAAACTAACCATAACGAGTCTTTGTTACTAATATCTATGTTTAATATTATATCGTTTTAGTACTAAAAATAATCAATACAGGATTTATTATAATTTCTTCTATATCTTCAACAGATTATTTTTAACAATGATGCTTTAAAATAATTCTTCGATTCTATCTTAACTACATATAACAAGTTCATATTGATCTTTCACATGAATAATGCAATAAAACCAATCTCAATCCTCCTGTAATGAAGTCTTTTTTATGATATGATCGATAAATCGTCTTCAATCACTGATTTTCATGATTGATAGAGAAATCTGGACGTTTTTTTTTCAAATATAATTATAGAGATTTATAGGATGTCACTACGGTGATATAAACGAGATTGGATAATTATAAGAAAACAATTGAACGAAAGAAGTATCTATATTTTTTTTGTTTGATAATATAATCGCTTAATGTTTTGAATTAAATCTTTAATAATAATTAATAACTAAAGATTCTGAATATGATAGTAAAATCAAATTTAAATGCATTAATTATTGTTATAAATGGACAAACAAAAAAAATTACATGATCACGATTTATTATAAAGATCGACTAGATAATTGCGATCAATCAAAAAAAAATATCATCGATAGCTAATCGCTGATTATTTGAATAAGTATCGTTTCGATACTGTGCGATTAATCGTCGATTTTGAGCACATAAGAAGATGACATTATAATAGAATGATTAGAATATCTTGAAGTTTACTATTCACCATTAAAGAATAAATTTTAAAAAGAAAATTCGGTGTCTTACTTTTATACTTTAGTAATGATAAAAGATTTTTTCAATTATTCAGCACATCGATACTATATATATTGGTAGATATGTAAAAAATCTTAAACCTAAATTATTTGTATTGTACCTAGTACTACATTATTCTGGATGTATTCTTTGTTTTTATCATGAATGATTTACTTTCATATTTGTCTAATACTGATTTTTTTTGTTATTGAAGATATGTTAAAGGCTGTTATATGTTTTTGCTATTTACGATTATATTTTGCATCACAATTATTGTTTTATAAATCATAGTTGTTTTTCATCCAATTGGATAAAAGAATAATAAAATAATAACGATATGTTGTTCATTTTACTCCTACATATCTTTTCATAAATAAGAGATACAACTGCGTATATTTACATCTATTTTTATAATATACCATTTTTCTTTCTTCTTTTTTTACTACGTATGTGTTAACAATGCAAGAAAGAGATAAAAGAGCCTTCAATGCGTAACGCCAATGAATATTTTTAAGCAGAAAGCACCGTTGAGCATGTATACAAATGATTTTTTTATCTAACGATTAAGCTGTGGGTGTATAATAACGTTTAAATAGGCAATAACATGGCCTCCCCTTCTTTTTGCGCACATAAGAAAAAAAGAATATTGCTTATCGTGAATGTATTTTATTGGATACATACACCTCCTCCTCCTCCAATATATTGATAAAAACGATTTTTTTTATATTTCTGTTCTTATCTCTTGTACAAGGTATATAAACAGTGATAATTACTAAAAAATATCAATTCATTCGTCAATATTCTATTTTGTTCGGTAGACATTCTTTAACGCAATCGATACAGTTACAATGCATGCTAAAGCCAGCACAATATGCTTCACAGTGGTGATCTTCGTTTTGGTAACAGTTTGTAGTGGACGATCTATTAAAGATGATTTAACACCAACAAATCTTCATAGAAGACGAACAGGTTCGATCTCTCAAACAAAAAATCAAGCCGATCAACACCATAATACAGCTGACAAACGTGATCAGTTTCAAGACTATTTCAACAGTCCTCAAGGTCAAGCTCTTCTAAGTAATCCTCAAGTTCAAGCAGCTTTAGCCTAATACAAAGGTGCTAAACGTAATGAAGTTGATGACTATATCAGCAGTCCTCAAGGTCAAGCAGTTTTAAGTGATCCTAATGTTCAAGCACTTTTCGCTCAATACAAAGGTGCTAAACGTAATGAAGTTGATGACTATATCAGCAGTCCTCAAGGTCAAGCTCTTTTAAGTGATCCTACCGTTCAAGCATATTTAGCTCGACTTAAAGGTGGTAAACGTGCCATGATTCATTGAAAGTAAGTGTTCTTAGATTATTTTTATATTTGTTGATGAGAGAATAATTATCTTATTTAATTTCTTAAGTTTAATTTTAAATGATTTATAATACTGAAGTATTTATTTTTGTTTTTCTCTTTGCAGGAGATGATCAAGACAAAAGAAATAATGGTGGTGGTTAGAAACAAATACAAAACTTTTTTTTTCAACATACCTAGTCTTCATATCCTATTTAGTCTTATCCTTTATGTTTTATTCGAAACTCTTTTTTAATAATTTTATCATATCTATATATTTTAATAAATCAAGCAGCTAGAAACAAATTTTTTCTTTGTGCAGTAATAATGAAAGGCGTATAAATCAAATATTCATTTAGAAAGAGAAGCTTTTATCTAGTTGCATAAAGATTGATCGACATTGTTTTAAAATAAAAAAAAGAATACACATTGGTTGGATTTATTCAAGCGTTAATTTCATTTTTTTAACTCTCTATGACCAAAAGAGATAATTATATACGTTACGAAGAATGAAAAAGAACAAAACAGAATAATGTGTATTGATAATAAAAGTTCACTTTAACAATGATTAATACAAGATAATTTTTATATTATGATAAAAATAAATAAAACGTACTTTAGATACTACAGATTATTTGTTTATTTTCGTTCATTTTGAGCTATTTCTAATAACAGTTTAATTATAAAAACAAAACACATAGTTAAATTTCTATTTTTCTAATAAAAAAATTGCTTCTCATTATATTTTCCTCCAACATCAAATCAACAATAATTAACAAATATCTCTCGAATATCTTTGATATTAAAATAAAACATAAAAAAAGAACGATTTCTGTATA